AATAGTGTAAAACCACCTTGTTGATAACAGCGTCCTAGAAATAAAACTGCTAACCCTGATAACCAGATAAGTTTTGACTTCAGAGGTTTTGTCTTTGTTTCTCGCCATCCAGCTCTATTTTAATTGGCAATAAATGAAATTAATTTTCTCCAACTTGAATCTGTTTTGCCTATGACGGTAATTGGTAAGTGATCTCCCCATCTTTATCTCAACCCATAAGCTTTTTCTTCTTACATTCTCCACCTGTTCTACTGAGGAAGGGGAGTGAGAGAGTGGCTGGATAGGCACCTAGCAGCCAGCCAAGTTTGACCCATCACACTGTGCTAGGCACAATCACTCAATTTTTTGCAAGAAGAAATTCTATACCTTCTGAAACCAAATCCTTGGCTTCAACATCAAATTTTCTTCATTAAGTCTTTTTCAGTAATACCAAAAGGATCTATAGTTCTTGTTAGAGACCCTAACTCTCTGGAAATGATACGATACAAAAATACTTGCAGTGGCACAGCATGATTTTTCACAGGAAAATAAACCTTTTTTTTTTTAGCCAGTGAAATACACATTTTTAAAGTTCTTAATGTTGGACTAGAAAGGCAAAAATTTACTCGTATGTCAGTGCTGGCCCACTTTCCACTTCTATGCTGGTTACAGAGTTCTCATTAGTTCCCTGATCTCTTAGTTATTTCTTTCCAGTTTTACTCATGTTGGTTTTCTGTATTTGCCTTTTAAAGTCTAGTCCTTGGGTACATTCTCCAGTTATATGTAAACAATTCTGAATAGTTCACTCAAACCAATCCAGACATGTCTACATGTTCAAAATCCATGCTTTGCTTCTCTGCCTTTTGATGGTGCATTTATGCAGTATATTGACTTTCAAAAAGAAGTGCCCCTCAATGCTTGCTTCTTTATTTGTGCCTGTACAGAGGTTTGTGTGATAATGCAGTAAATATGATCACTAAAATGATCAGGATCACTGGCTTAAAAACACTTCCCTCTTTTTCTTTTTTTCTTTTTTTAAGTATCAGAAAAAGACATTTTTTATCCTAAAATAAAATTCACCTTCTCATTTCTAGGAGATCATTGTGAAAAGTAAGCATTATGAGAAATCTAAGACATACATATTATTTTCCACAAAAATAATTTTAAAATCTCTGCATTCTCTGCAGTGTATTAAACGTAAAAGGAGATAAAATCCAGGAATATGTGGTATAGTAACAAAGAGACATGTTAGCCACAATGTCTCATTTCTGATATTATAGTCACTCTACACTTCAACTCCAGCTTACATCTAGACGTTGTTTTCCTTAATCTTTTTATGCAAGCAATAACACCAGCAAAAGCCTACCATGAAAATCTTACTGCAAAGTCTTTTTCCAGCCCTAACTTCCTGATGTTTTTGAAATGCTAGTGTAATTGAGAGGTGGTTGGAGTATTTTGTGTACTTTTTACTGCAAAACACTAATATTTCCAAAGTCAGAATGAAAGGCTATTTATGACATAAAAATTACAGCCAACTGCTGTCACTATCTCAAAATATAATCAGACTGCATGAAATGGGCTCTATGGCCTCTGTGGTGCATAGTTTTATACTATTAAGTATAGTTTCGAAATAACAGAAACTGATATTGATGGGATCTGTTCTTGATTGTGCACAACAAGGCAGCCAGGAATGCTTAAGGAAACCAAAACAACAATAAAAGTAAATTAAAGATCTAGTTGCAGGCCGCAGATGACTCTTATTTCTCCTACATTTTCAGTAAAAATTTGGCAGGTTAGTAACCTTACTTAGCATCTTTAATGGTCTTCTGAGTATGTATGCTATGATGAGACAGACTTAACTGAAAAATTGTTTCAGGCTGCTAAACCACATAAACTAGTGTAATTGCATTGGCTAAGCTGAATAAGCCAGAAAGTGTCATACAGGATGCAAAGATTTAATAATTGTTAGAGAGGTGCTAATAGGTAGATTTATTAACAACTATGATCAAAAAAAGGCTGGATAGGAGAAAAAGGTAGATGAATAAAATATTTTATTAATTTAATATAAGTACTTTATTAAAAGTACTTATATTAACCAGAGTGCTAATTTTCACATACTGCATAAAGTTACACAGAAGGAATAGTAGGAAGGACTGTACACAATGATCACTCTCAAGCCTCAGACATCAGTGTTTAAAAACCATCCACAAAGTAGTGTACATCTGCATAATCTGCATAGATCAGCATATGGATAGCTATAAAAGGATACAACATGGATGGAATCTCTTGCTTATACAGTAGGATTACAGTATGAACTAAATGAAAAGGCTATTTTTCCATTTTACTACAAAAAAAAAAAAAGTAACAAAATTTATTTTCAATTTGAAAACACTTTACTTGTAACTGCACTTTACATACCAAAACAAAACCAAAATGTGTAATTTTGTGCAATTTTTCTTATAACTATGGAGACATTTCTAGTTTGATTCTTAAAGGAGTTTTTCAATATTCATGTGGACTACAAGCAATTACAATTTCCTATAAGAGGCATATAAGCATTGTCAAGTTCAGCGCAATACTACTGATTTGTTATACAGCTTCTTGTTTTGTTCAAGGGATCAGTTTGGGTTTTTAGGTTACATATACATATGAATATGCACTCAGATTTTTGTTTCGTTCATGTTCCCCAAATGTACTTCACTGTTTCACTTCTAACACTGAAGAACTTAACCAAAAACAAATTTTAAAACAGATGCTTTTAATTGCAGCAAAATCCATACTCTACTGCACTATAGCTACCAGAAGTTTTGCCTAGCTTACTGGGGAAAAACCCACAGCAATTCAGTCCAAACCAAGGATTTCTTTTAGATTTTGCTGGGATCCATGGAAACAGGGTCTTGAGAGGCTACATCTACATTGCTTTGTTACATTATTTCTGAGGGCTGCCACTGTAGACTCCTGCAAATCTCAAGGGACTTACAGACCACGCAAGTCTTGTCCCAGCATGACACTACAAGTGGTACCTTCAGCACTGCCATGTGTCCCACCACTTCTTGTACTGTCTCCCACGCCCTCCAAACATTTGTTCTCCCCCTAAGACATTTGCAACAGATATAAGGTGTATGTAAGGTGGCTGCTGGGCTCCTGTCTTCAAGCAGCACAGCCGCAGCCCCAGGCACTGAAAAAGATGTGCTTGTGTGTGGTTGCTTATTGCTGGTGTTCATTATGCCTGCTCCAAAATGGATTTCAGCTTCAGCAAAAGAAAGATGTTTGACGCTCAGTGCTGACTTTGGCTCTACCTCATTTAGGCCAAGAAATCTCTTGGGCTTATCACAGATGAGTAAATCTAGGAGATGATAGAAGTAAATCAGGACAAAGTGGACTTCAAGATGGCAGCAGAGAAAAAGAGGTTGTATCCTGATGTGATGGCTCATGTTCACACCTGTGCACACCGCTGCCCAAAAGCTGTAGGCATTATTCACCTTGGAGATGCTTCCTGTTTTTTGGAGAATAACATGCATTGTCCTCCACAGTAGGTTTAACCTGCTTTTCCAAGTTTACCAGGGGAAAAAGCCTACTTAGCAGGTTTTAAGTGAGCTTATATGGATACTGGAGAGACCCATAGTTGCAAGGTGGATATTGAAATGGGCCAGTCTGTGGATATCAATGCACAAGTTATGTACTGACATTTATGTTCTGGCCAGTCTGAAGGAGACAAATGAGCCTATTGAGAGAAGGCAGGTTGATTCAAGTGTCATGTCTTATAGAAATAACCCAGTGTTCAGAACACTGCCGCAGCATGGCTCAGCACCTGATGTCTCTGGTTCTGGATCCCTTCCAAACATCCTTTGTGCTGTGGTTTGAAAACACAGTGCCAACATGGCAGAGGCTTTCCTCATAGCTGGCATAACTTTAAATATACTGCGTCATATCTCTGAGGGACTTGTGGTGTACCCGAAGGTGACTGGGAGGGGAATCTGGCAGTAGCTACCATTCATGACCACAGAGAATATAATCATGGCTATGGTGAGAGTACAGGGCACTTGCCAGGAGTGCCATGAGAGTTTTGTCCTTTCTCACTAGTCAACTGCTGTTATAAGACAAGAAGTGATGATAATGACTTCATTGTCCATGTCTGTGCTGGTGCTACCCAAAGAGGAAGGAGATAGAAACTGAGAGCAAGGTCTACACCATTGGACCTGGATGCCAGATTACCTTTAAATCTAGTCCCTCACAGCCTGTATCTGGAAGCTTGAAGAGACTTGGTTCATCTGAATGTGTGCATATAGGAGGACATGGCCCTGATCTCCAAGGACTTCAGGGACAGAGGACAAAACTGTGTTTCACGTCTGACAGAGAGCCTGGATAGCCAATTTTTAGGAAAGAAGCTACAGGCTTGGAATCAACTCAGAAATCAACTAGGAGCATATCAGAGGCTGCTAGGAGGATCAGATAAGACCTAGCTTGGGGTTGAATGTATCTATAGGTGATTTTTGGCTTTGAACAACCTGAAACTGGTAGCCAAGCATATGCTGTTGGGGCCCTAAAGCAAAAAATGACAAAAAACCCCACCAAGCTGAGGCACTCATCAGAATTGCTGTAATTAATCTGTACAAAGGAAGTGCAGAGGGGTAATTCAACAATAAAATCTTCTTTTGTCAGAAGCTATATAAATTTATAGATAAATACAATCCTTAATCCATAGATATCACAATTTGATATGAAGTTTTTGGATCCTTTTATCCCAAAATAAAATTCAGAAAATCCAATGTTAATACCTTAACTTCTCCTTTTGACAAATTTCAGACATCCTGTCAGGTAAAGAAGGGAGCTGTTTTTCACATTATAGTATTTGAAATAATCAAAACTGGTATATAAAATTATTACTGCTATCATCAGCTAACAATTTACCTTATCGGAAATCTTAGTAATACATAGACTTTTTTTAGAAAACTTCCGATATCCTTGGAATGCTGTGATTTTATCAGCTAAAAGGTAAAATGAAGCTAAAATGTACTCACTTATTTTATTTCTCACTTCATTTAATTTTTCTCCAAGGCATTTAGCTTCAGTAAACCTGTCAATGCAAGCATAATGATACAGAATTATTCTAAAGAACAACTAGTTAAGCTAGTTGTTCACAATAAAATACAGAATTACTCAGGACTAACGTTTTGATTTGTAAGTAGAACCAGTTGGAAACAATTTTCCATCCAAAAATATTGTCTGGTCTAAAAGAAACTATTTCTGAAAGAAACCATGCAACAAATAGGTTTACTAGACAGACAAAACAAATTTATTTTACTTTCTAAGTTTTAAAAATTACGTTATTTCAATTCTAACAATTGGATTCTCTTAACTATTCATATTACACTACAACATTAATTTTAATATGCACCATTACTTGCAGTATTTTAACACACAGCTATATCAAAGTAAAAGAAAAAAAATCCAAGCAAAGTCAAAACAAAATTTTTGAAAGTATTAGAACTTCTGCTCACCAGGAGTTTTCAAATTTCAGCCTGTAATTTGCATATTGCTGATGATCACTGTTTGTGCTGTGTGAAAATGTACAACCCAGTCACTAAGAAACCTCTCAAACAGAAATATAAGGAAGTGCGACAAAACTAAATTATTCTGTTCTTCTACAGATAGTCCTTATGTGAATGCAGACTTTCAGATGATATTCAGCTATTGCTTAAATACCGACACAAGCCAAAGCTAGCCGCATGAAGATATGCAAATAGCAAGCAAGAAGCAGGCTGAGAAGGATGGAAACAAATCAATGAATCAGGCTTTGGAAACTCCCTTTTTGTAGTATGCAAATAGCTTGATCTTATATCAAAAATGGAAATTTTTTTTTTTTAAATGTGAAATTTCCACCAGGTATGTTTCTAACTTAATTCACTGACCCCTTCGTCATTATATTCAAATAATCAAATCTCACATGGTATGTAAAATATTCTAACGATCAGAAATTTATTTTTTAGCTTGCAACATGGGGTTGCAATGGTGCTCACTTCAGTGTTATTAAGCATCCTGCTCACTGTATGTCTTGCTCCTTAGGAAATGTGTCATATCTAAGAATATCCTTAAAAAACAGCTGCCTACAGAGCCTTACAAATTCACTTATATTCTCCAGTGTGTTAGAACTTGATGCCTTCTCCTTTTGTGCTTTTTTCTGTCAGTTTTCTGATCTTTTACAGAAGTTGCTGTCATAATTGTTCTCTTACACTTATTTAACTCAGTACTATATAAAACTGTTTAGGACAAATGGCATACATATCAGGCTTTCAAATGCCAAGTATATTCTGCTGTAAAAATAATGACAGTCAATTCAATGTACAATGGCAAAGTTTGAAGAGTCTCTGAGAGAACGGAGGCTTGTTCAAAGAAATATCCATTGTAACAGTCTAAATAGTAATAGTTTAAAATGTAGAAGGATAATTTGTTGCATTGTGACATTTATTGTAGGACATTAGGCTTGATGTGAAATTCTGAATTGTTACTTGGATGCGTACAAGTTGAACCTTGTTGAATGTGGAGGCAGAACTGTAATGCTTAATTGCTAAGCAAGCCTTCAGCTGATCTGGAACAGTCTTGGTCTAGCCAAAGTAACCGAGGAAATCCACAAATCGTATTTCTGTCTAACTCAAATAATGGCAAAACAGAGTCAAGAAATACGACTTTCCCCTGGGGAGGCGGGGTTTGGAAAATTGCCCCTTCTCAGTTAGTCCATTTCCCTGTAAAACTGGAACAAGTTAGAACTTCAGGTGCCTGCATTCATATCTGCTCAGGAACATTTGCTTTCAAGGCTGAATTCAACGTGGCTAAATGGCTGAAGCTGGAGGGTTCCTCGGCACTTACTGTTTCTTACATAAAGAAGGCAGAAGCATTTGAAGCATCTGTGAGATATTTATGTAAGATTTTTCTACTGGTGTTGACTTAGAGCACCCAAGCAGGCCTTGAAGATTGTGTAAAGATCAAAGTGAAACACCCCAAAGTACCTCTTTCTCTGTTTCCCTCAGGTCCCATGAGCCAAATACTAAGTTCTTCAATTACTTAGTAATTCCTGAGGCAAATCTCATGTTGACTGTTGATTCTGACTCATGTTCACAGAGAGATTTAGCTGGACAAGTTGAAGCCAGCTATCTATCCAGCCCTTATTCATAGGTTACTGTCAATAGTAGAACGGGCCATGCATCTGTTTCTCAAACACCATAGTTTATAAACTGGCACAATAACGTAAACTGAAATTTGGCATTAATTTATGACAGTCAAACAAATTCCATCTGTGACTATGAATCATAGTTAAACAAAATAAACCAGATAAAGACATAAGATTTGACTCTAATATTGAAAGGGAAAAGGCTATTTCTGATACTCCTCTAATAAAAAGGTGATATTATCTAGCATAAAGGTGATATTGCTACAAATAGTGATGAGTGAACAATTATATTGTTAGCTGAAAAGAGTTCATGTGTATCCTACATGGAGACCACTCCACAGAAAGGCTGAAGTTGCCAAATCATGGCTTCTATTACCTACAAAATAAATATTCCATTATAAAACCCCGAAGTGAATTTAGCCACTAATTTTAGTGGAACAAGTGTTTTTGCAAAGATTTCACTCTTCGAATGTAAATGCCAGTAATTAAAAAACAAACATTTTGAAAAACAAATCTCTAACTCATAATGTAAACCAAGACAAACTCAGAGGCTGTCTAATGAGAGAATGGAGACATTTAGTGAATTAAATGAACATCCACTAATTTTTAATTATTAGAAATTACAACAACAAGTGACCTAACTAAAACTCATCCTTTCCATGAAACTCATCCATAGGTACTGAAAACACAAGTTAGCTGCTAACCAGCTGAAACCCAGAAAGCAAGGAAAGAAGGAAGTGGAAAAAAATAATGGAGAACAACGAAATGGAAACTAGATTTACATCACATCTGCAAGCTCGATAGAATTTTACTACTGGAAATATTGACTAGGATGGGATTTAAAAGCTTCGTGCAGTATGTAATATTACATTGGGGTGGCTCAGCTGGGAAGATTTCTTGGTAGCATACTTCACCAGAAAATGAGATGCATTTTTCTCCTCCTCAGAGAAACAATGCTAAGAGAATATAGTTGCACTGAGAAACAGGATATTATTAAGTTCTCTGGAAGACAAGTATAGGAAGTCCAAATTGCAGAAATCTGATTCTGCCTGGGCATAAACACAGATTTTTTTAAGCAGGGCAGCAGTTACTAATGTACAGAAGAAAAATGAAAAAGATTTGCTTTGTATTAGCTGCAAACTAAGCTGTAGAAGATCACCTTTTCTACCTTACAAAGCCACTTCCCATAGGCAACTGTCCTAATAGGATAGCTTAAATCTATTGTCTTTCACTTGAACGGTAAGTCAGTAAATGAGCTTCAGAGAGAAATTATCCTTAACTATGTAAGTTTCCCCACTTTTTAAATCCAGAGATGGTACTGAGTTACAGTATTGAGCTACTGCCCCTGTAAAGAGCTCTGAAGTAATAGGTGAAGTTTTATGTTAAAAACAGTATTTCTTTTCTTTTCTTTTCCTTTTTTTTTAAACAAGACAAATGCTTTTCAGTATTTAATTTAAACAACTGATTGCATTTGATTGTTTATACACAGGTAGTTACAGAAAAAAATATGTATATTGTATATGTATGACTATGTATATTCACATCTATATGCATAATTTCACAGCCTAAGCAACAGTTGTGACCTTCACAGTCAAACCTCCAACTAGGCTTACTGACAGTTCACCATTCAATTAATATAAGAATGATATAATTAGCAAGCCAAGAAAATCTACCCAAAATACCCAAAGGAAAAAATAAGACAGCTAAAAATAAGTAATTTGTGAACCAAATACTGCTTGTGGTATGACAGAAGTGGTTATGCAACTATAAACAAAATTATTAACATGAGAGACCTACATATAAAGGGAAGTTATGGTAACCTTTAAACATGTGGTGTCCACACACTTCTTCCTGTGCAATTTGACCACTGGCTGGGTAACAGAGCTTTTGTGTAACTGGTAGTTCAGAGGCTACATTCCAAATTACAGACTGGACTTGATGTGAATCCATTTTAATGAACTCAGTAAACTTGGAGCTATAGGCACCTTTGCTAAAAATGACTGCAAATGGCAGGGGAAAACTGTCTTGCTCCAGGGTATCAGCATTCACATTAGCACTGATTTCAGCAATCAGCTGATGCATGAGAGGGGTTACCCGAGGTATTAGTCTGAATCTCTTTGTTCTTTAGGGAAAGCAAATCTGGTGTCAAACTTTGTGGGTTCTGCCCATCTCTATTATACATTCTGAAACCAGAAGGAAATACCGGTTTGCTTAATAGTAATAACAAACAGAGAAAATATGGAAGAATTGTGATTAACTAGAGGAAATTCAGGGCATGGATCAGAACTGTATTGCTCCCATTATCATGCTGTGACCGTGAAGTGTTCTGCTCAATGGGCAGCAACACCAGAAATGATTGCAGTGTAATCATTTATACAGTGATGATGCAATGATATGGCATCATCTGATATATTGATTAGAAGAAAAGAATTACTAAACATCCAATTTACATGGATAAATTCTTACATACACCTAATACCTTGGCAATTTGTGTCCCTGTGGCTAAGTTATAGACCCAGGTAGAAAGTTAACCAGTTCAGAAAAGTGATAAATAGCAAGATCTTAAATTAGTCACAGAGACATGGAGATCATTTCTTGCCTCAATTTCACCAAAGTAAATGAGTATAAGGCTCAGTGACCCTGAAAACAATGTCTTTTGTGCCTATTAAGTGGGAAAACTGTGTTATTAAGAAAGCAAAGGAAAGCAGGAGAAATCTGGAGAAGGAGAAAACCCTAGGACAAAAAAAAAGGAAAAGAAAAAAAAATCTATTAGGAGAAATGTTAGTTGCAAGGGTAGATTGAGAGATCTGCTTTTGGCATCTCCAATCTCAAAACCTTGTATTTCTCTTGCAGTGCAAGGAGGGTTAACACTTGAAAAACTGACACTGAAACAGTACTGTTATCCAATCAACATGGATAAGTGTTGGTGGTTTAATTTCTGAGAAGTTTAAAATTTGCTTTATGAAAATTCATATTTTCAATGTTTTACCATTCTCACCATCTTCACCAGACGATTTTGAAGTGTTTTGCCAGCATTAACAATAAATGTGGAGGAGGAAAGTATTATTTCTGGTTTTGAGTGCAAAACTGGCAGAGAGAAGCTAAAATCACTTGGCAAACAAGTTAGAAACAACAGACAAAAGCATATGTTAAACATCTCCTAGCTTACTGTCCAACTCAATGCTGAAGCCAGTAAAGCATTTTTGACAATGGAAATTGCAGTAATTGATTCAGTCACATGGATCTTACTTCCTCTAGATAATTCATGATCATGAATGCCATTTACCACATTGCTTCAACATGGCTATGAAGATAAGATGAATAAAACCAGAGGAAAGACGCACCAATATTCCTCATGCCACTTTCCTATTCTATGCAGACTTTTATTCTGTTACCACCCAGTGCCTTCTGAATATGAAATATCCCCAGTAAGAAACAGCTAAGTTTCTTTACCAAGTTCTCAATAGAAACCTGGGATGTCTGGTGTAAAATTACGCATTCCTACCCAGACTCATAATGAACTCTCAGATGTCTGCCTCTAGCTGTATCTTGCTGTGACACTCACCTCTGTTTTAGAAGCTGTTTGTTGTCCTCAATGGTTATATTGTCAGCACGGTCCTGCTTGAAAACTTCAAAAGCTTCCTGACATCCAAGTGACATCTTTCCTCCTGCCCCAAGAAAAAAAAAAAAGGAACTACTTCAGAGTCATCAAAAGACAGACATTTTTGTCTTTTTTATTTAACTTCTAATTAACGTCTATTTAGACAAATATTATAACTTCTATTTAGACAAATATAGGAAGTCAGCCCAGGGGTCTTAAAGCACCCAGAAGACTAAATTCAGTGTTCCACCAATGGGAAAGCATTTTTGACAAAAGATTTCTCTTATCTGACAAACTAATTTCGTTTCACTTTCCTTCTCTAAATGCTGAATGTTTGGGCTGTATAATTTCTCAAGACAACTTAAAATGTTCTTAAGTAAAACCAAACTTTGAAAATTTAAAATAGGTGAAATATTCTTAAGTGTGAGCCAGAGGTATTTTCACAACAGCAAACTGCAATTTGCTTCTGTATTTCTTTCATCCCTGTTTCATATTGGACTCTAAACATACCTTGAATATTTTCAGTATTCTTGGAAGAAAAAAATTCAGGCTTCTTTTAATTATGTGCAAGTTTCATTCCCCTTAGTGAATGTTTTTCATCCCCTTTTAAGTGAAGCAGGTATTGTACCTACAAAAATGGTTGGTTCCTGCCTTTTACATTTTCAACATGGTGTTTGTTTCCTTTTATGCATCAGAAGGTCAGGACTTATTTGGCCTTCAAATCTTTTAAAAAATTGCTACAGAAAAGTATTACAGTCTGTATTATTTATCAGTTCTCATTGCTAGATGATCTACAGATCCAAGTAAGAAATCATGCATCTGTATTATCATTAACAAAAAAATTCAAAGGCTTGAGGAGAATGAAAGATAACACCAGCATCTGTGTTATCATGAGTACATATATGTCAATAAATAAGAAAGGAGAAAGGATGAAACTTGCACATAAATAAATCACAGTAATGAAGATAGTTCAGGAGCAGAAAGGGGGAGGAATCTCACACTCAAACTGTGTGAAAAATGCAAAACAGCTCCACTTCTAATCCAACTTCATGGTTGCAACTTAAACCTCAAAATGATATTCCTTGAATTGGAATTTGTTTGTCCTTAGTTTTTTTTCTTCTAGAGTCTTTCTTCTGTCCTACTCACAAGCCTGCCTTCCTGCTTCAAAGCTATCGAGACCCCCAAATCCACTGTGCACAAGAGCTATAAAGTTTCCTGAGACTTCTGCTACGCAAGAGTTTTCTATATGTTTTGTGCCAATGGACCAGCATTAACAATAACATATGTATGCATGTATGCCAATTATTTTCTGGGCTACCTGCTTTGCAATTTTGGTGTAAGTGGGGTGACATATTAACAAAACATACCTAAGCAGGTTGGGATATGCAATACTGGGATGTTACACCTTATTGGGGTCTAGCTCTGTAAGCTGCATTTTATAGTCACTCCAAATATGTTCTGCTGCTCCTCATCATACTTATAATATCAGAATTACTCCCCACTGACTTCAGTGAGACTTCTCTGGTGTAAGATACTGTTTACAGTGAAGGCTGGTAAAAAAACTAGCACTCAGGGTTCAATAATCAGTAAAAGTTTAAAAAACTTTGTTCAAAACACAGTAGAAAAATTTGCCCTCTGTTTCAGTAAAAAGAATCAGCACATCTGTTACTAATTTAAAAATTTTGAGTTGAAAATAGAACCACCAGGAATGTTTGAATGGCAAAGCATGCAGAAATGCTCCACCCTTTTTGAATAAGAATATCAAAGAAAGATACAGTGCAGTCTTTACTGCTGTGTGATCCAAAGGAGCAAGAGGATTTAGGAAAACATATTTTTCTGTGATGATGACCTGAGAATATAATGTTCATGTTTCATGCTTGCCTTGAAGAAAAACAGGCAGCAAGAAGGATTTTATAGCACATTCATCCCATCACTAACACTAATTTTAATATGCAGCCTGAGTTGACCCTCTAGAATTGCTTTTGTTGCAGAAAAAGTTTGTATTAAGTGCAGAAAGCCTGGACGAAATTCATGGCTAAGCCTAAAATAAACAATGAAACACCCTTACTCATATGTAGCACTGCAATGTAAAGTATTTAACCCTTCTGGCAATGTGCTGCCTTTGAGAGTAGAAATGAAAACAGTAGAAGTAAGTTTGGAAAACAAAACTATTACAGTGATTATTGCTTCTGCCTGGCAGAAATGCATCAACCAAAATTAAAGGTAATCTGATAATCATTTTCCAGTGCTACATTAGGAAGCAGCAGATTTGTACAGCCAAACAAAACATGTAAAAATAGATGCCCAGAACTCTTGGGAGGGGGAAATTTTCTGGTTTATACAGTCCATTTTAATAAAATACAGAAATATATGAAGTAGTAAACAGTCACATTCTGAAAATGGTATCTAAGGAAAGGAGCTTAAAAAGGACCATTAAGATTGTACCTCAGCATAATATGAGCATAAAAGAGCTACAGAAGAACGTTGCAGCCTGTGGGTAATGACAGAGACATTTAGGATGATAATAAGGGAACACAGAAATGTTAATACTAGTAAAAGACTGCAAGAAACATTGGAAGCTTGATGGAGTGGTTGTGTTTTCATTCTGCTCAGTAATAAAGATTATTCCTTCTCCATGGTTGATGTTGTGTCTTCAATGTTGTTTACATTTCCTTAAATAATCTATAATTTCATAAAGTGGCTTCACCTTCTTTCAAATGGCCTCCAAGTGCAAAGGTGCAATAACATTATTGGCATGCTGTTTCTCCTGGGCATAATTCAAACAAATAAGCTATATGTTTTTTTAAAACAAGGTGCTATTGAATTTCTGTTTTTCTCTAGCTGTAAATTGAAACCTATGTATAGCAATATATACATGATATGAATAAAAGCAGAATTGAGAGAAGAAACCATTGATGATAACACATTTTTGGCAAGGTAATCAAACAGTTCAGCTAAAACTCTTAGACTTGTAGAAAACAATTTCTTTTACTCTTACAGGCCAAACAATTTCTCCTCTCCTTCTTTAATACCATGGCACAGTGTTACAAAATAAATATTTGAAAATTCTTATCTAAGGAAGAATCATCATATCCTACAGGATGAGAACGAGGAAACACATGTCATCAAGTCCTTACAATGTGAACTGGAATAATCATTACCATAAAAACAATCCAGATCAACGCAAAAAGCATAAAATTTTCTTGCAATCACATTCATGAAACACCAGTTGACAGAACTGCATTAAAAAGTGATAAATTTTGTATCAGCTTAATTTTAATTATACATTTCCTGTTAGGTTGTGTAAATTGGCTTTAATATTAAAACACTCACAAATATGCCCAACTCACAATATGAAATTTATAGCAAATTCAAACAGCTAAAATTCTGGGAAAATTCAGGTTTGATCCACATCCTGAAGTTGAATGTTTAAGAATGTTCTCATTGAAGGTTTGATTTCAGTCTGTACTCCTATCCAGTGCATTCCACCAACTTTCACATTAAACAAAAAGTTTGAGTTCAACAGGCTCCTCTTGTAAAATGTGCGAATTACAGCTGTCCCACTGAACTTGAGTAAGTCAGAAAGCAGAATGATAATGACAGATCACAAGCTCTGAACTAGAGCAACAAGATTTGAAATGACCAAGAAATAGAAAGCTCGCTGTAGTATTGATAATGGGCTAAACTCTTGAAATCAGTCATAATTCAAAATACACTCAGCAAAAATGTAATAAGGCTTTTGGATGTGACATGAAAAGATCAAAGAGACTTCAAGACTCAATTGTATGCCTACAGCAAGTAGAAGCCTGCCCATCAGCAAAGCCCCTGGCAGATATTATGCACCCTATTCTGTCACTAACTAATTTAGAGATCATTTATTCTATGCTGTTACATATACAAATGCTATTTACAGCCATCCTAAACGACAACTGTTTAGTGCCACACAAACTTTAATTAGGAAAATAAGTTAAAGTAACATGTAGGGTATAATGTAGCACTGGATGCTCAACTGTCAGTAGAGAAATTATAGGGCTGAATGCTATTTTTAAGTTAAATAGTATCCACTGGGATTACTCAAGTACTATATCTGAGTAGGTAAGAGCATGCAAGTGTATAAACTTAGACCTTATTTTGTTGCCACAAGTGATCAAACATAGTTGTACATATTTAAACGACCATGCTGATTTTTAAATTTATCCAACATCCACAAATCCTGTTGCAGCTTGCTTTAGTGATCCCAGTTTATAAATACTGGACAATTTTTAAGGACTTTATTTTAGTGCTTTTTCATAAAGATTTCAAGAGTGCTCAAACTGGAAATGGCACTTCCAGAGTGCTGAGTCTGGCCACCTTCTTTTTTTTTGTTTGTTTGTTGAAAAGGCGTTTGTTGCTCAGAGGGAGAAGTCCTTCATAATGTTTAATGCGTGAAACCCACAGAAAACATTTACATTGTTCTTCAGTTAAGTCTGGAAAAATCTGTCAAGCAATAGCATGAAATTGATATCTTCTCTGTCAGAAAACAGAATCACAGTGTCTCCTCACAACCCAACCTTGTAACCAGATTTTGGTCCCGGTATGAGAGCTCCAAGGGGGTTCCAGCAGCCCTCATGCCAGAGGCTGCCAGTTGAACCTGCAAAAAGAATTGGAAACAACTCTCCAGGAGAGAAGAATTAAAGTTGCAAGTTGAGCTGTTCTGAGTGAGAAACATTAAGGCTGTTAACAAAAGCAAACTCTTGGGAATAGCTATTCAGTCCATGTATTCTGATGAGAAAGGCATCTGGCCACATATCTAGCCACATACCTGTTTTGCAGAAACTACATTTTCACAGTAGAAGACTTTGTCTTCCCATTCCTACTAAGGGCTCTATCGGACAAGAATTGCCAACTCTTCCACTGAAATCAATCGGAGCAAAAAGTCCCCTTGGCTCAAGGAAAGCTCTCATTCTGAAAAATGAAGAATTTCAGGATGGCAGCTAGTGTGAATCGTGAGTCTTCATGCTTATGAAGACTGTCAACCTGTTCGTGCTATTATTTATTTCCATTTATTATCAAATAAGAA